AAACTTGTTATTTCAAAATACCTTGTGAAAAAACGGGCTCGCAATTCCGACATCCCTGTAAACCTTGTCCATGAGGATTAAAGGACATTTTGGAATAGTGGTTTATTTTGAAACACACTCAAAATAAACCACGCAATTTGCATAACACAAATTGCGTAGCTTATTTCAAGCTTTGGGTACAGTGTAGATGCACCCTATCACACTGCAGTATGATTTTGTTAAAATTAAGAGAAATCCCTCTTTCTGAAAGAGACATTTCAAACATACTGAGAGTAAAAAAGTGCCTCGCTTATAAGAAAAATTTAGTCCTTTATCCTTGGAGAAAGAGCAAAGCCAGTGCAATGTATATTTCCCCAAATTCTCCCAGTGATGTCCGTAAACACTATTCAAGCACGAACAGCAGTAAAATGGCAGATGTGTCTCCAGCCTCATTCAGCCCGTGGAACCCTTGCTGGCAATCACAGGAGGAAAGCCCGCTGGTGCCAGCTGTATCTGTTTGTGTGTGTGGATACCTGTATGTTCCCCTCACCACGGCACCTGAGGCATGTCACAAGCATTGATTCATATGGCCTCACAACCACCTCTCTGAAGTGGGGAAACATGATCATCATCCACACTTTATGGGTGGGGAATTGAGGTACAGAAAGAGTAATAGGGTTACCCAAAGTCACAGAGGAAATCTGTGACAGAGCTAGGAATTAAACCAAGGAGGAACCTCTTAAAACCTATCCTTCCTCTCCTCTCTGACCAGCTGTAATGACTGTGAATTATTTGAGGTGCCAACTGCACTGGACTGAACCAGCTCTCAGATGGTAACAACATTTTAACCAATACTACTATGAGCTGACCGGGCCATGGAACAAATATGGAAAGACAGCATAGCAATAGAAGTAACCATCGATTGCTTGCTTTTTTAGATCTGATGAATCTTCATTCATCTGATGGATGATTTACTGATTGTAAATGATTCACTTAACAAATATTGGCATTTTCCACCAAATAAGATTGTGATGACTTTCCCCATTATTTGGCCAACTCTGCTACTCACAGCCTTTGTTTTTAGCCCTGATGAATTTCTACTATCTTAAGCTTGTCAAACAACAAATAAAAACTGAATGTGTTATCAAATAACATAATTGAATTCTCAGTATAAGTTTGGTAAGATGTGTAAACTGTTAACCACCTATCACTTTCCAACCAAGAGAAGGCTGCCTTTTTGAAGGCAGCTAAAATAATTCTCTCTCTCTTTTCCTTCATTA